TATCTAATTAATTAATAACTATATTATAAGCAAACAACTTCTAATAATAATTGTTTGCTTATAATATAGTTATTAATTAATTAGATAAAGATAATAAAGATAGAGTAATACTTCCAATAAATGAATTAAAAACCATCTTTTGTAAATATATGTAAGCAATCTGATATGTATTATTGAAACTAACATCATTATAATAACAAACAATTCAATTATATTTTGATTGAAACACTTATCATTTGATGTGGTTGATGTTACTTTATTAATTGTTCCATCATATGATAATATTAAATACCAAACATCATTAATATTAAATAATAGTAATATTTGAATTGATGTAAGTACTTTGAGTAGGTAAATGATAATGATAATCAATATTATCATATAAACGAACTGATAACTAACTAAGATTTCTAGTTATTCTTGTTGGAATATTTTCATTGGAAAATTCAAATTAAACATTTTTAAATGAATATGGAATATTAATTAAATGAAGTTCAACATTTATTTCAATATTCCAAAGTAAGATCCCAGTTACGATGTTTATTTCTTCTAATTATCAAGTGACTTTAATTACTTTAAAATATTTACTGAACTGAAAGAAAGATATTTAATAGAAATAATAATTGATGAATAATTACTGTAATTTCCTTCTAATACATTTGATTTTAAAGTATAATTAATACATGTATAACTTGTATATTATACAATATTATTTTCATTATTTTCTTAGAAATATTTTAATAAAAATAAAATAATAGAGAATAACCAAAAATAATGCACCGTAGTTAAGTGCTTTGAATTGACTCTGATGAAAAAAATATGATTTATTGAAATTTAAAAAAAAAATAGTTATTCTTATATACTGCTACAAAACAATAATAATAATAAACAGAAGAGAAAGAGAAGAAAGAGGTAATAAAAAATTATTATGATAGAAGGCTATAAATATAAAAAGAAATTTAACAAATAGGTGGGTAATAAACCTTACACAACCTAAAAATGATATGATAGTAAAAACATATTATTTTGTAATACTATTTTATAGGTGTTTATAAAAAATGTATCTTTTATTGAAATAAATTGGAAAGAAAAATAGAAAGACAGTATTAACAATTAACGTTTAAACTGATTAATTCATAAATTTCTTCGTTTTGTCATCTTTATTCGCGATTTATTTTAATTTATAGTATTGAATAAAATAGAATGATTTATTAATTATTAAAAAATTATGAAGTACAAAAAAATCAATCATATTTTTAATTTAAATTTTGTTAAAGATTTTTTCAATTCGTTATTCTGTAGTTTAAAAAAAATCATTGTTTCAGAAAACATAATGGATTCATCCAACTAAAAAAATTAGTAGAAAATTCTCTTTATTTAAAATTATAAATGTGAAGAAAAAACCAACAATAAATTACTGACAAAACAAAAGAATAATGTAAATAATATAACTCATTCAATTAATAATTTTATAAAAAAAAGAAAAAGTGGTAATTTCAGAGGGGAAATTTCTTTATTTTTATAAACTAAGAATTAAATCTTGTTCATTAAACATTGATGACTACAATCAAGGAAATGCTTGAAAATGTTGAAAAGGATATAGAGAAAGGAAGTATTACAGTTGATTTAATGAAAGGTGTTATAAGTATTCTAAAGAAATTGTATAAACAAATAGAGCAAACTGATGAAGAACTTAAAAATATACAATTAAAGAAAATTAATAAAAATATTTCTGAAGTAAGTGAAGATGAAACAACACAAATTAACGAAAGTATTACACCAATGATTGCATGTGCAACAATTATTCCTCCATGTCATTCAGAAAGTGAACTATCATTAAGTCCAGTTAATTTTCAATTAACATCAATAAATTCTTCAACACAATTATCAAAATATATTAGTAGTAAAGAATTAAGTTCTATTGAAAAATATAAAAAGGTATTAAAAAGCTGGACTAAACAACGAGCATTTAAAGTTCTTTATAACTCAAATTATGAAGGATTAAATTGTGAACATTTAAATAAGAAAATTGTTGGAACAAAAGACCTTATGGTATTTGTATTTGATAATAAAAATAATATTTTTGGTGGATTTACAAGAAGTTGTATTCCAATTTGTAAAAGAAATGACTTTGAATATACCCAAGGACCAGAAGAATTTTTTGTATTTTCGTTAAATAATAGTAAAGGATTTAATCCAATAAAAATAGAAAGAAAACAAGGGGATTTAGGGTTTAGAATAAGTAATGACAATGATAGTGTATTTGGTATAGCTAATTGTTTCTCAATTATTAGTAATGACAGGTCATATATCATTCCTTCATTTAATAAATATTATAACGATACTACTCAAGTTGGTGCAGAATTATTTACTGGAAATTATTATCCTAAGAGATTCAAAGTTGAATGTTTAATAGCAGTGCAATGGTCTTAATTGAGAAAGTAGTTTATATTAATTTATATATCAATAATTTATTAAAGAAAAAGAAAATTATAAAAATTAACATTTTCTTGTACTTCATAAAAAAGAACATATTTGTATGTGATTTGTAACTTAAATATAAAATAAATAACCAAACAATTTACAATTGACTCAATTCTTAACAACAAAAAAAGAGTCTCGTGTTGGGTTGTATCTTCCTGATGGTGCAGAAGAAGATGCTATTTCAAATCCAAAAATTGTTGGTTTAAATTTATCTGCTTTTTTTATTCCTGAGACATTTAACATCAATAAATGAGGAAATGTCATTCCAAAATATGCACCATCTAAATTGGAACCACAACAACCATCTGGGATAGAATATATTTCCCCACAACGAGGACAAAATAATTTTGTTTTACTTAAATAAGGAATATTACTTGTACCAATAGGTAAAACAGCGTGATTCTATTATGTAAATATTTATCTATTTAATAATAATTAAATAAACAAACATCACATAATACTCTTGGACATGCTCCAAATTCACCTCTTCTAAACTTTTCATACATCCTTTTTAAACCTGATCCAGTTACAATAAATCTTTGATGAATTAAACCATATAATAATTTGGTTTCAATAATTAACTGTCCACGAATGTTTTTATCATAACTTTGTATTTTTGTTTTAGAAGAGATAATATCAAGGGCTTGTTCATAATGTTCGATAAATGCTCGTAGACCATATAAATTAAACTCATCACTAATAAAATTTTGATCAACTTCACACAAAAATTCATTACCATCTAATGAACAATATGACTCAATCCAAGTTTCATCAAAAGAATTGTCTAATTCTTCTGAAGAGTCATCGTTGAAACTTTGATTTGTTTGTCTTCCTCTCTCTTCCATTTCACATATATAATTTTAAGTTTGAAAGAACTTTCATTAAGTTAAAAATATTAAAGTAAATGAAATAAAAAACCCTTTAATACAGAAAAACATTAAAAAAAATAACAAAAATAAGACATATTACTTTTTTATAAATAAAAAAGATATTAATCACTCTTAGTCCTTCCAAAGAGCTTTTCTTTTATTTGAAGGATTTTTGGTTCTGTTAGATATCTAATGGCAAATTGTCCTATAACAAGAGATAAACTAGAAAGAACAAGACATGTAATCCATTGAATAACTCCAATTCCTGGGAATGGAGATACTGAGAAGATTGGACCAGCAAATACAACAATGAGAGTTTGGACAATAATTGTCATTGAAACAATACCTACAAACATATAATTTGAGAAGATATTTTCAAATACATCAGTTTCTCCATTAACTTTTCTTGAATTAATTTCATTAAATATTTGACAGAAAACAAAAGCATTGAAAATCATTGTTTGAATAGTAGTAGTATCTTTTTCAATATCGTTAATAGTATGCAATTTATGATCAGCACATTCATATTGTCCAAAATCACCATGGTTTATATAAGCACATGGTGCATTAAGGAATGAAATATATCTACCACAATACAATAAGAATAAAAGAACAAATAATTGATAAATGGCTTGTGTAACTATATTTCTGAGCATATTAATTGAAAGAAGAGATGCCTTTCTTCCAAATGGTTTTCTGTTTAAAAGAGATGGTGTTGGTTTTTCTGTTCCAAGTGCTAATGCAGCTAATGTATCCATGATCATATTTACCCATAACATTTGAAGTGCTTTTAATGGGGATCCCATCTTAGTAATAGCTCCGATAATACATAATGCAAGAGCAACAACATTAACAGTTAATTGGAATTGAAGGAATTTTCTAATATTATCATAAACACATCTTCCCCACATAACAGCCTTAACAATTGAATTGAAGTTATCATCTAAAATAACAATATCTGATGCTTGTTTAGCTACATCAGTTCCTCTAATACCCATAGCAAGTCCTACATCAGCTTCTTTCAATGCTGGTACATCATTTGTTCCATCTCCTGTAACTGCAACAACTTCTCCTTGAAGAATAAGTCTATTAACAAGTCTTTTTTTATCTTGTGGTGAACATCTTGCAATAACTCTTAATGTTGGAATAATATTATCAACTTCTTCATCTGTAAGTTTAGCAAATTGAGGTCCTTCAATACAGAAATCAGATTCATTCTCAATGATGTTACACTGTTTAGCAATTGATCTTCCAGTTGCAATGTTATCTCCTGTAACCATTCTAACAGTAATGCCTGCTCTATGACAACTTGCTACTGCATCAATAACTTCTGGTCTTAATGGATCTTCGATACCAAAGACACACAATAAAGTACAGTCCTCTTCTGGAGATTCTTCATATTTTTCATTTAAATTAGATGGATTTTTTGGAGATAAATCACGAACAGCTAATGACAATGTTCTCATTCCTTGGTTAGCACATGAAAGTTGGAAATCTGAAAGTATTTTACGATCATCTTCAGTTAAAATAACAGTAGTTCCATCTTTTTTCATATATTTAGAACATTTAGAAAGAATAACTTCTGGAGCACCTTTTAAGAACATATGGAGAGTGTTATCTTCATTATAAACTATTGTAGACATTCTCTTTCTTGCTGATGAGAATGCAAATTGTTGGTAAATAAGTGACGACAATTTAGTATAACGAGCTTCATAATCAATATTTTGTTTTAAACAATAACCAAGAAGTGCACATTCAGTTTTATTTCCAATAGTCTTAAGAATTCCATCTTCCATATAAACAGCAGATGAAATTGATTTATTACACGAAATATTATTATAAACTTCTTCACCAAGTTTTGTATTATTAAGATCTAATGGTTTGTCTCTTTCCATAACTTCTCCTCCAAACCATCCTCTAACAACAGTCATTCTATTTTCGGTTAACGTTCCAGTCTTATCTGTACAAATATTACTACAGTTAGACATAATTTCACATGCCTTTAAGTGTCTTACTAAATTATTATCTGCCATCATTTGTTGCATTGAATAAGCTAATGAAATAGTGACAGCTAATGGAAGTCCTTCAGGAACAGCAACAACAACAATAGTAATAGCAGTAATTAAGTACTCAACAATAGAAGCTAAATGCATCCAATTAAATCCAACAAGTTCACAGTTATGAGTTGCTTTACTTGCTTCAGTCCATTGTTTGCATGGATCGTTATCACAAATAAGAATTGGTTTATAATTAATTGCATCCATAACCCAATAAATACAAAGAATTGTAAAAACAATAATAGCACATCCCATTCCAAGTTTACCAATTTGTTCTGCAAGTTCATCTAATTTTTCTTGTAATGGAGTTGG